TGATAAAGAGTACCGGTACATTTATATACATGTTTAAGCCAGAATTATTTGATATTTAAATATGACTTCCATAAAACTTAAAACTTCTATGTGTATTTTAGGAGTCTTATGTGAGAAAATCCAAGATAAAGTTGTGCAAAAATTGTGAAACGGAACAAAAACGACACTTTTTTGGCCCTTCCCAGTCAGAAGCCCGCAGAATGGCAGCCCACTTCCCTCCAACTCCCAGCAGACCCCCCCCACCCCTACCCTTTTTTTTAGTCTGACTCAACCTTCCACTGAATTACAGGCTCTGACCAGGAGATGATGCTTCTTTTTAGATCTTAATATCCACAAATCATAACAGAAAGAATATTTTCGCACAAAGATTGATGTTTAAAAAGGGAATTATAGGGGACCAACCAAGGGCCTATAAAGGAAAGTGGGGAAATTTAGAATGGCTACTACTGTAGATCTACTGTTTGCACAAAGGTTAACAGTTTATTCATGACTTATTTGATTTATGGTGATAACTTTTTAACTGTGTTTTTCTACATATGATGTTAAATGTAATTAACTAGAGAACCCAGAAAAAACTGGATCCTTTCTAATGTTTTCTAATTTGTAAAAACTTGAAAATTTAGAGGGTGCAACACATTCTTATCATGACTGGCCTCTTAGGTGACTTTAAAGGTGTTTGTGTTGTAGACCACCCTGAATGCTTTCCTTGGTGTAAAAAGGTCATTTCAAAAGAAAAAGTGGAGGTCAACCGTCTTAAGGTGATTCCAATGTCTCCAAAGGAGCGAACTCTGGGGAAAAAAACCAAGCAGTTCATTCAGTGCATCAGCCCGAGACACAGAGACCCTCCTTTAGCAGCGAACAAAGGCGTCTGTGCGCAGCCGCTCCGCCAATCAACGAGAATTTCAACCTCAAGGAGGCTCTTTCCAGCAAGCTCACTGAAGCCGACGCAAACATCTTCGGCTTTCGCTGGGAGGCATTCGTGGGATTCCAAGGAGCATTAGGTCTGCAGAGCCTGATTCCTGACAGCCGAGGAAGTGAAACCGACCGTTTTGCACCTCGAAAGACCTCAGCTACACCGCTAACACGCAGGGGCATCCCTTAAATGGTGTCAGTTACAATTTAGAAGAAAAAGAGCAAATTGCAGCAGAGATAAGGCAATTAGTCCCTTCTGTAATGTTTAACACAAGCATGCTGGATGCAAGGGAAACCTGTTTTTGTGCATGCTGCAAAACATTTTAATCCTCTCAGGAATAACAGTTAAAATATAAGGAATAAAATCAGGAGGATCCTTATGGCAAGAGCTCTATGATTAGTGTAATACTGCATGATAAGCGTGAGTATTAACTTTTTTAATGGAAACTCATCCTACAGCTCTGTGACACGTATTTGAAAAAAAAAAAAAAGGTTTAGGATTTCTGAAGAGATTATAGCGCAAAGAAAAAAAACAAGCTGGGGATTTATGCACAATATTTAGGTTTAATGCCGATCAAACAGATGTGGCATCATGCTGATATAGCGGCACAGCAGGCTCTGTGCGTCTGTGTGCCAGGAGTTATTTCCAACGTCAGGACGGTTTGACGTCTCGCATGAACAGGGAGGCTGATGCTTAACTATCTGAGCAGGAAAACGTTGTCTAGACGCTGAACCCGGTTGAATTATCTTGAATTATGAAGGAAAATCCTGGATCAGTCGTCTGGCGTTTAACCAGCCCTGATGAGTAGACCGTCAGCAGGATGACGTACGATCACAAATAATAAGATACAAACGGCATAGAGGGGAGTTGACTACATTCCTCTGCAGGATCAGGCAAAAACACCGCCGTGCAGTTAGTTTGAGGCCCTCGCTGGCGTAACCAGGCTCTTCTATTATTAGTTTCACCACAGACAGTCAATATTTGGACATCTGAGCCATCGCCAGTGGGAGACACTAATCCTAAAGCGTGTCTTTTTAAGTGAGTGGGGTTGTGGGGAAAGGAAACCGCAGCTTCTTCTACCATCAGCGTCTTCAGAGGCTGACCTAACCTTGAAGTAACCGTGGGCCACCGCCTGGGGCCCCAAAAGCGCTTTGGATGGAGTTCATTCAATCCACAGTCGCACATCTTTTTTCTGGAACGCTCACCAGGTTTCCACAAATATAAGATCTAGAGCAGGGGTCACCAACCTTTTTA